CGCTAGTTTTATTCTTGAAATTGAAATTACAGCGAGAACTATTACAGCGAGAAATCTAGTGTTCACTACAGCAAGCAATATTCGATTTTTATCACGACGACAGAATTGCTTGTTCGGACACAGATGTATTGATTAGCAAAAACGATACTAAAATATGCTGGCTTACATTACATGTTTAATGTTGCACGCGATGTCATGGTTTTTCCGCGCGAAAAATCGGACTGTCGTGACAACGGAATGAAATAAAGAGCTGTCAGCGTAGTCACGATTGTAATGGTCCGCGGCGATGATGGTGACACCGTCCGTTCGATGCCGAAGCGTGAAATTAACCCGAGCGTATTTCCCTCAGGTATCAACCAGGAACGTAAGCTTGTCCCTCGCGCGCGACATGCAATTCCATTTTTGTGGACGGTCGAATTGTACCACGTCCGCGTTCTCGCCGGCTGTGAAATTCTAACTTGCCGTGTGTTTAAAAACACACGCGGCTACATGGACAAGTTAAAAACGTTTCGCTTTGAACCCAAACGCAACAATATTCAGCGAAAACTAATAAAATGTCAAATAAAACTCGCGAGTCGCTTTTATTATTGAAGTGAGGTTCATTAATTATTGCAATATAAAAATTGCGCGCGCACGTATATTCTATAAATTTTATTTCGAAATTATTTAAATTACGTATATAACATAAAAAATGCGTACGTATAGAAAATAACGTTTTATTATCCTTTTTCGTTTTACGATAAAAAGTGCGAATATTTTTCATGTCAAAATGTATCATGTAGGCGCGCGATATTATATTTTACTGATTGTAAAATACTACTACCAGCTGTAATATGTTTTCTGTATGCGACCGCACGTACTTACTACTGTGCGGTCCGATTATCAGACGTGAATGCATAGAGACACGCACACACACTCATAACTAATGCAAATACAAACCGACGCGCTGGTGACCCACTGCAATATTCTGCATTACCATTCGAAAGCCGCAAATGGTTACCTTATCTCTCGTTGAAGCGACAAGCGGTGTATTATTTCCGGCTGTATGAGCCAAATCTGACCATCTCAAAAGAACGACTCTTCTCATCTCTCTCTCTTTCTCTCTCTCTGTGCAGCTATTATAAATGTTCTCACGTTGGAAAGTACTGTGTAATTGTTTTAGAAAAAAGCAAAATTATGAAAAAGTTATTACTTTAAACTTCAGGATCGGGAAGTAATTGTGAAAGTGATATTATTATTGAAATTTTATTCACACCTTTTTTTCATCTCTGTCAATTACTTTGTAACATAAAAAAAGACGTATAAACAACAGTATTTTGAGAAAAAGTTTTTGAAATTTTCTGGCGCTTGTTAAAAGCACCGTATACATGCAAAACGCACACCTAAAATATAGAAAAAATATAAAATTATGTAAATAATATATTTTGTACTTTTTGCGTGTATGTTACTTTCTTCTCCGCTTCCGCATATTCTTGTTTATCCATTTTTTTTATACATGCACATACACACACAGCTCGCTTTTGAGCTCGTCCTTTGAATCTCCGATGGAGAGAGAAATCGAGCGTCGAGTTCCGCAAATTGTTCATCTCGCCGCGGGAAAGTTTTAACGGCCGACCTCGCCGCATCGTTTCGCGTCCTCGAGAGCTTCGACGTAGCATTATGCGTTATCGCGGTTCGCGAAATATATATTCCCTGCTCGGTTGGTCGGCGGTCAATGTTACTTGTGGTGGCTCGCGGAGAGAAAGCGATGGAATTTCAGAGAGCGAGAGAGAGAGAAAGAGAGAGAGAGAGAAAGAGAGAGAGAGAGAGAGAGAGAGAGAGAGAGAGAAGCAAGTTTTACAGAAAGATACGTCTCCGGCTCGCTGCTCGTTTCTCGTTTTCTACATGTGGCCACGTACGTTGCCGCGCGCGTACATATGCATGCATTAATGCCGGCGGTACACATGCATTATCCAATAATCGTCGCGATGACGAAAGTTCCGCGTGCAAACAGAGCGCGCGACGCTGGTATGCATTCGCGAGCAGTATCAGGGGCGCGTGTAAGTTCAGCAAACATCATTACGCCCGCGACTCTGTAACGAATGTGAGGCCGCGGGGTTTGTTAATTAAGAAGATACGTCAGCCCGCGACCGTGTTGTTTAATGCAATCTGTTCCCCGGGAAACCCTCGACAAACAGTCGGTCGTCCGCTCTCCGCAAGCCTGTGCTCCCAGGCGCGTATAGGGAGAGAAAGAGAGAGAGAGAGAGAGAGAGAGAGAGAGAGAAGGAGAGAGAGAGAGAGAGTGAGGCGCACTTTAGCCGCTTCCTCCGCAAGAATGTGATCTGGCCGCGAAACTGAAAGGAATTTATTATCTGTCCAATTAAGACGGATAATTATGCATGCTGTCCGCCGCGCGCGTCGACGCCGCGAGCTTGTTAGTCGCATAACTCACGCGAGGAACGTCGTGTATGTACGCGGTGGAAGCGTTGCAGATCGGGCTCGTATCATTTCTCATTCGCGAACATTTGTATATGCTTTTAAAAATGTGTGAAACCCGTAATTATAATGAACTTTATTATAATGAACTTTTGTCTAAAGCGAGGAGATTTCAGAGAAATAAGCTGTGATACGTGAAAAAAAAAAAAATGTTCAATTAAACTCTGACTTGATTGTGTCTCGAGTGAAAATTGATTACGCGAGACAATTTGTTGTTGACTTGTTAAGTACTTTTATAAAATAATCTATGGTTTTGAACAATCAATGTAAGAGAGGTGTGACGGCGATCCCGTTTGTTCTCCACAACCTCGTTACGTTGCGTAAGCGCTTCGTCATCCTGTCGTGTCGCGTGATATCATGTTAGATGCTTTCGCGGCAATTGTACAGGCAGGAGTCGCCCGAGGAGAAGGGAATCGATGCGGGTTATAAATGAGAGAGCCCCGTCCCGCCAATCGCGGGCATCGTATATGTTTTGGCAGTGTCAGCACTGTAGTCTACGTGACGAATTGTGTGCATCCATCGCGACACGTACATAGCGGAGACAATCCCGGGAGCGTCGCGGCGCCTGTCACACGCATGTCGCGTCGTCGTTACGTATAATTATTCACGGCGTCGCGTCTCCAAGATCTAGAACGCGGCAGATTAGATTCTGTCTATCAATTTCATCCGACGATGTAATCCGCCTCGCAAACGCTATCTCTCGCGGGTTTAACCGCTTCGTCGCATTAACTAACAATATTCCCGCTTCAGAGTCTGTCCGATAATTAAGACCATTATTTGTCATCCGCTCAATGTGCTAATTTTAAGCCTGTCACTTAGGTTCCTAATTCGATATGATCCGCGTGTTTGAACACACTTCGATCGTCATGCATTCACAATGAGTAATGAATATTAATGACATAACATTAATGTTGAAAACTAGAAATTGTTGACTACTTGATTCAAATATTTGCGGTACAGTGACCTGACGATGATTATTTTCCGCTCGTTTTGTCACGAAAATTTGCGCGTCCTAGTTTATTTTTTTTAGTGAAAATTAGATTATCGTATCGTATTTGCGCATTAAAACTGCAGAGCAGAGAATTATGATCGACACAGGATCAATCGTTTGTGAGGAGAAACTTCGGTTGGCACACCTATAGCTGTCGCGGATATTCCGCACATTGTTACGTGCGATTATTCACGAAGACGCATTCAGACCGGAGTAGAGTACGGTCGGACCGGATCTCGTCCGTTAGATCTGTCTGGCTTGTCCCGGCTGGCAAACCGAGGGCGAGATTACGACGCCATCCGCCTTCCTCCTTGCTGTCGCGTTGCTTACGCTGTCGGAAACAGCGGGGCTTCCCGCGAAGATGTCACTATCCGGACGACTATCTGCGGGCGTGTTCCGAAAGCCACTTCCGTCGAAATGGGGTGCGCACGTACGTTCGAAAGTTGGCGAAGCGGCTCGCGCTCATCCGGAAATCTCGCAATGTCATACTTTCGTACAATTTACCTTCGTCGCTAGCAACATATCCGTCGCTGTCCGATACCGCGGAGCTGCATTCAGACGAAATAATTCCCGACGTCGCGCGCCAAGATATATGTATTGTATGATTTATTGAACCTACAATAATTTTTCTTCTCTACGAAAATTTTATTTTACGTTCGAGAGTAATTCGTCACTTTTGTTTTGTTTTGTTTTTTTTTTTTTAATCGATTTTGAGCAAGATTTCTAGAAAAATTCTCATGACGAATTAAGAACGCAATGTAATATTGCGATTCAAATTGTTCATAAGCTTTGTTTTAGTTTGTTTTTAGTAAAAAACAAGTTTATTATATATTTGATTTCTAAACGACGACTACTGAAAAACAATTCTCACGTAGGCGCCGAGAATTTTCTCTCACGCGCGAATAAATGCATCACGACGCATGTTTATATACCGAGATCGCTCGTTCGTGTCAGAACTTAAGCATTTTCTCGGATCGTATTCCGCAAGAACGACAGGCATGCATGCATTCGCATACACGCAACACGCACGCTTCAGACGGAAGGTTTTTACGTAAAAACCTTCGCATTTATTACGTTGCACGCGAGGCGGCAGAATCTGCGCTCTCGCCCGGATTCTCGAACCGGAAACTCTCCGCGGACTACGAAACTCGAAGCGAGCTCGTAAAGAATCTGGGCGCACTCGGTCTCGTCTCGCCCGCGGTTACCGCAAATCGACCTCGGCACAGATTCCTTCGCTATTATATCGCTATATATACACTCGCGCGAATCTGGTCGCGGAAAGCTGATCCACGAACAGCGCGCGATTCCCTCACCATCGTCATATTTCGTGATGAATTCCTGTCTTCCGTATAACTGGCTTTGACGCGATCGTCAAAAAATTGAATCATTTAATATCCAAGGTAGAAAACGCTTGATTAAATCGAATCGCGCGCGCGTTTCGAGTTTTATTTCAATTTTCCTCGAGTTCTTCATTTAATTTCGGACTGCGAAATTGTCCCGTGTTGAACAGCAGCCGTTCGTTTTCTTTTTACAGGTTTACGAGATGTACGTGACGGGTTATCAGTTTAAGGTGCTATCGCCCGTATTTACGGGCCACTGGGGACTGCAGACGAGGAAGAGCAGACCCGCTTGGCGCGAGCGTCAAAACAGTGCCAACAGGAAACAATTCGAGACGTTCAAGAAGGAGGTGTTTGCCCGTTACATGCGAGATCCGTTGAAGATGATGAAGAACGTTAACTGACGAAAGATTCGTCGAGGATCTCGTTGACTCGAGGTTCCTCCTCCTCCGTTTACATTTGTTCTTAGGCTCGACATCGAGAAATCCAGAGAGAAAGAGAGAGAGAAAGAAAATAGAATTTAGGCCTCTGGCTATATCGCTAGTGCTCACCACGTAACGTAGTGGGTAGATTTCAAGTGTGTTTTCTCACGCGATCGAACATGTCAACGAACAATAATATTTTATTTTTAACTATTCTATGTTACTATTTTATAGAAATGTACATAAAAATTTTGTTAACCTCTTTCTCCGACACTGTCAACTTCATCGATCATGGTTTTCAACAAATCGCTCGATATTTTCTTCACTCGTCGGTGCTCATTTGCTCATTGTATTAGGGATAGTATATCTTCGAATCTCTCTATGTTTACACAAAACTGATCGAAATCTCTGACGAACGGCAGAGCCGTTCTTTATCCTTCGTGTGGGAACAATAGCAAACCAGCTGCTCCTCTCCGTTCATCCGTATTAAGCGCAACGGCGGAGTGCGCTTCAGTATGCTCGGGAGAGATGCCACAGATCGAGTAAACGCGATCGGCGGGAATTCGCGCTACTTATCGAACCTTCCGGTTCATCGATTTCGCCAGGCGGAACCGACCGCGTGTGGCCGCCTCTTGTTACTTCCACTCACGATTCCCCAAAGTCATCAGAGACCGCCATGCGGGGATCGAGGAATAAATATCGCCCTGTGAGTTTCGCGGCACGTACTCGCGCACGAAGGAGCGGGAAAACGAGGGCGTAGGAAGGGAGGGGGGGATCTTAAGTGAGCGTACCTCGTTAGCTGTCTGGGGGGCTTAAGAGAGGGTGGCGTTTAAATCCAAAATCGATACTTCGCTTGACACGGGCGTAGCGCGCCGCACATAAAATAACAAACGGCATAAACAGTCTCTGTGTCATATATAGTTATTACGGCGTTGCGCAGAAAGAAATATTGCGAATGACAAATAAGGTGTCTCAGGTGCAGTTCCTTTTATCGAGACGGGTTATTTGAAATGATATGTGGAAATTGAACTCTTTCAAAAGCGGCTTGGTGGAGTTCTTTTACAAAAATCTTTAATTTAAAATTGAACCGTAAAACTGCACGGACAATAACGGACAGTAATAAAACTCTTCAAGAAACTTAAATTTTAATTAAGAAGTTTAATTCAAAAAGCCTGATCGGACATAATTAATTATTTTGACAAGTGTGTTCGTCGGTTAAGTCCAAGTTATAGTAAGAAACACTTTCTATAGATAGAAAAATATGAAAAAAGGGAACATAAAAAATATTTTCTATAAAGTCGCGTGAAAAATAAATAGAAACTGATATCGCATCGCATCGAAGATTGATCGCGCTCAATCGTTAGAAAATCGACGATATTTGTGATGATGATATTTATCTCGTGTAATGTTTTCATCACAAGCTGCTCGAGACGGAACGCGCGTTATGTTCCTGCGTTGCACCGTCGTTTGCTTTGCGAACTTACAGGATTAATTATACAGGGCGAGGTGTTTCGAGGTGTTTGCAGACACACGGATGTGTGGCCTCCATTTGCTCGCGCGCTGTGCAAGCCCAACAGCGACAACGATTGCTCAATAAATATCGCCACCGGCAACGTTTCATCTAATTAAATCTTAGAAAGACGTAAATCTCATTTTCTCTTTTAATTGACATGGCGCGGTTTCTCGGATCGTTCGAAAGTTGTTTTACTGTGTTAAACAAAGCTCTCATCACTCGATCATGCTCTAAGAATATAAGAATATCGTATATGGGACGAAAAATTCTGAGATTTTTATAAATGATATTCTACAAATAAAAAAAAATAAAAAAACATATCGTGTGATGACTGCCAATGTCAGTTAAAAGACAAAACGTCGATGTTTAGTTTAAGACAGAGTTACATTTATATTGTAATGTTTTTACTGATAGATGTGTATTGAAATATAGTTTAGGGTGTTGTGAAATAAAATTAAATATAATTAAAAAAAAAATGCGACATTTGTATTGTTGTCTCTTTTATTCTTGCGATAAATTCCCTTTGTCAGCGAATTCTAGAAAATTGTGTTACGACGTATTTCAAATATTTTATCGTCTTATCAAAAACATGAAATTTAGTTTCTTTTTTTTTTATATACACTTTCTCGTGCTATTGTTTTCGTCTTGAAGATGACGATCGCATCCCTCGGTCCTCATTGTCGTTGCGTGAGATAACACCCGCAACTCCACCTATTTTCATTCCCCTCTGATTCAGAGAATAATCCGATTAAGTACCGCACTATTGCGCCTCTCTCGCAAACTCGAACGCGTCATTTTTTTCACGGTTATCTCGAACGATCCCGCGAACGTTCGCCAGTTAACTCGAATCGCGGATACAATAGCCGACAGTAAAAAGTATACATATAGCCGGGGGACGGGATGAAAATGCTAACGATCGGGCGGTTTCACGGCGCATTCCAGAGCGCGGCTGCATGGCGCCAGGTTGCGGCTCGTAGGGCACGTTTTATCGTGTTACCGCGGTTGCATCGCGTGTCAGAGGTGTCGACTTCGAGTGCATCGGAACCTCTGAGTATACTGTAAAGGAATATGAGGACACGTGCGTCGACTACACACGATGGCACGAAAACGGGATCGCATTTTTGGTATAGATTTTCCAACGAATTTTGCATGTGTGGGGGAACTCGATTTTATCCGAGTAAAAATATCAAGAGAATTTGCGCGAGATTATTGATCGCAACTTTGGTATATTTAATATTAGATTGTTGTATAATTAACATTTGCACACAAGCGCGCGAAGCTTTTTTTATACATAAGAAACTCATAAACTCGCGCACAGCTCATTTCGTTCATTTTGCTTTCAAATTCGAAAATGTTTGCCTAAAAATTATTCACCGAAATCGCTGATAAAAGATCGCGATTCGAATTTCGACAAACTGTCTCGAAGATAATCTAGATTGTCCGGAATATTCTGTGCATGCGGAGATACATGACTGTTATGTCGATCGGCTCCGTCACACGTAACTTCCAGAATACATTTTTACCTGACGCCGTTTATCACGATCTCAATTTCAATGCGAGCGCATTTGTATGAGGCTGTTTTGACAATTCGAAGAAAAACGTTGTATAGAATATGTGCATTTCGCGACATTTTTCCATTTCATAGTTTTCCGTACATCATCGAGAGAAACACGATAGAAATTCTCATATCTACGACTATGCATTCGCGGTGACTTAACGCTTAAGCCCGAGATATAAAACCGTTCCCTCGGCTTTTTCCGCGATCGTTTCGATTTAGTAAAGTTTGCTTACGATCGCGCGCGCGCACACACATACATACACACACATACACACATATCGTATCTCGTTATAAAAGATAGCAAAAGATGCGCGCGAAAATCCTGTGTAGTCATCGTCGTCAAAGTCGACGGTGCTGTTATCGTCGTTATCGCTTCTTGTTGGACCAACGGATCCATAGTATACGAATGCGCTATCCCTGGAACTGTTGTTAAAGGATTACCGGGTGCGAGAAAGCGGAAGTCCCTTAAAAAGGAAAAAATGCGGATTTATTCAGCTAGCAGCCGGCCGAACGCAGCGAGGATAGGGAGGATTCTACCGCGTCATATGTATACGATTCATGTACACGTATCGTTGCGTATGTATATATCTCTTTGCCGCTTACATCTGCTGTTAATCCCAGAGCGAATTTCTTGAAAATGCGTCGCGCGCGTGCGCGCCTCGGTTCAAGTATAATATATTCCAGCGCGAAATGTTAAAGCTCTCATTGTATATTCAACGCCACTTGTGCAAGGTTTATGCTATTTCTCATAAATAATCATAAGAGCGCAAAAGCGCAGTTCTAATTGCGCGATGTATCGCGTCGATTGGGATGCAAGATCGATGAAAAGTTTAATTTTAATGAGTTAACTCGCGCACACACATGCAAATTAAGTCCTGATATCGGTGACCGCGTTTGTTTTTGCAGAACAAAAAATGACAAGAAATATGATATAATTTTATAACAATTTTTTTCTAAAATAATAGTATTTTGCCAATCTTGTTCGAGATCGATCGCAAAGAAAACAAAGAAACAAAACAAAATCTCTAAAGAGAGCACGCAAGACATCATGCGCTCGAGATGGCGAGACTCGCGATCGAATTCTATTTCTTACACTTTGTCAGGTGTTTGACGCTTGGCTAAATTCGCTTATCCGCGCTGTCGCGCGAATCTACGGTGCGAGAACAAGTTCCGGACGCGCAGATTGCGCCGCCTCGGCGCGACGCTTCTAAGTTCCGCCTCGTAAAAGCGGAAAATCTCGTCCGCTGGCAGACGTAAAATTCCCAGTTGTCCGGATCTTCGTCCGAGGAGTTCGAAGTTTGCTCAGTTACAGTATTTTGTCGCGTACAGTACTCGTCGCCGTTTCACGTCGGCGAATTTCACGTGATTAATAACGAGATGAGAAGTTCGTACGAAGACGAATCGATAGACAGAAGCTAGCGTGTCGCGATCCGATGTTACTGTAATTACAGTTTTTGCCCGATTAAGATGTCACGTGTGTTATACGCAGTACTCCTGTAACGCTAAGCGAGCGTTCGCTAACTAACTGGTAACACCGGTAGTCGCTGTTCCCATCTAACGTCGCCTAATACGGGGACGAGTCTAATCCCGTCTGATCTTGAATAATCTGAACTAATCTCGTGCAATCTAACGGCAGCTTTCGGCGCCGGCTACGAGCGCGAGTGGAATAGGTCCGTTTTCAATTAGAGGGAACATTTTGCTGATGGCATCTCCTCCTCCTTCTCCTACGGCCGCCTTCTCGTTCGGGCTAGATATCTGCCGAAACTTCGTGCAGATACGGAAGGTGAGGCTTACGGATACGGAGATGCCGGTGGGAATCTGTCAGTATGAGCAATCTCCATAGATAATCGGCCGGATTATGCAACTAGGATCAGGATTTTCTACAATACGTGCGCGCCCGCGTAAACTTTCCTTGCGGATTTGTAACGTGATTAAATTTTCAGCGCGGTCACGACCGCGAGCCGTTTCGTTCTCTCTTAGTCAACTTAGAAATTTACCGTTTATTTCTGTGGTCTTCAAAACTCTACGGTATAGATTGTACAAAATTTGCGCGCAAAAAGCCATGTCCATTTGGAAATTGCCGTTCATCAATTTAAACCTTCCTCGAGGAAAACAAACCGAGATCGAAATGGAATGTCAAGTTGACGTTTTGACGTACACCGCGTGCATTGTTCGAGCAAGTTTTTGTACCACGAGCAGAAAGTCGTTCCTGATTGCTAACGGTATATACAACGCGGCAATATATACATGCGCTATTTTTGTCTCAACTCGCGGCGCATTTCCGCAACATTGCGGCGTGCATTCATACGCGCGTGCAATCAATCGCGGACTTTTATAAAGTACCGCGAATATAAGATTTAAAATAATCTTGATAAGAAAAAAAATGTCTTTTTATATATTTTTAATGTATCTTTATAATTATTAAATAGATCATTTATTTGCGACAAAATGCTGAGAGAGAAAGTGACGATTCACTGTAATGTAAGTTGCAGAAAAGCTTTTGACGCGCTCGTTAGCGATAACATCATTCGCGGCGCGTCGTTTGAGAATGTCGATGGGCGACGCTCATTCGAGACATGACGAGAAGATGGCAAAGAGACGGAGTCACAATATGATACGACACTTCGTTACTTGTCGACGTGACGTCGGTTCTCCGCGCGCTATCAACAGCCGCTCCGGGCGACTTCGGAGCGCGTTCAACTTGCTTGCGCGACACCGCGCGTCTCGGAACGTCGAAAATTTTGAAGATCTAACGCGGGCGCGCAACGACCGAACTTTTTGAAGCCGCGATAGCAGACACGAACTTGGCACTTCGCGTCTCGAGAGAAGTTCGGCTGTTCTTCCGTACGCGAAAGCCAAGACGAAGAAGCGGCGCGTGCTATCTTGTCCGCCACTTCTTAATCGAAATATGTATATTCACACGCTGTCGTCGCTCCGGCGAGTGCGCGCTTCACAAAGTATCTCATCCTCGTAAATATCTTTACCTTTTCTAGACAAGAATTTTCATAAGAGCAAACGCGCGCGCGTCGGATATACATATATGTATGTATAAATACAGAAAATATTTACAAAATTTATGTACATATGTAATATATAAATATTTTAATTTTAAATTGGAATCTCTCATATATATATATATATATATATATATATATTGTTCTACGCTTCTTAAATACGATAGAAGAACCAATGCTATTGCGAAGCGAAATCTGATAGCTTAAAAAGACGAAGAAAACAGTACTGTTATTTTAACACGTGGCTATAGAAAACTCAAGTGAAAGAAGACTCTACTTTAATTTATTTCCGTAATCCGTTTTCTAAACCGTGGCTTATTTTCCACGAGCAGCACCTGCGCACCCAATCGTGCATGTCTGCAGTTGCACAATCTCCTTCGCTCTTTTACATTAATTTATCGCATCCGCCCGAAGTGCGCGATTCGATTTTCGCAAGGTCGTCTCCCCGTGATTCGCAAGCTCGTCGTCCGTTTTCTCCGCTGGATTTTGAGTGTCAAATATTTGCGGAGAGCCTGGCGAGGGGAAACGGCCACGGATCCCCTCATCTAGATTTTGCGGGGATGCGGGTGATCAAAAGTTTCTCGACGAGGAAGGAGGGGACGACAAGGGAACGAGACGCGTGGCGAAACGAGACGTCGCGACGGCTGTGCGCCGTCCTGCACGAGGGCCGGTAGGCACTTTGAGGAGGAGAATCGTTTTGTAATTGATAGGAGTGTTTGTTCGCGTTTGTAAATACCATTCCATTAGTGCTGCCGCGAGCACGAACTACACGAACTTTGGCGCGCACGCCGAAGTTTCGCGTTTCCCCGGAGCCGCTTCAGCCGGAAGTACGTTTAATCGGGCCGTCGCTGTTTGTTCC